GTCTTTATCTCTGTATAATCAAAGACATCTATCAAACCAACAGCCAGTATCATATTAAATGGTCAAAAACTGAAAGACTTTACCCTAAAATCAGGCAGAAGACAAGGATGTCCATTATCACCACTTCTATTCATTATAGTACTGGAAATACTAGCCAGAGGAATAAGACCAAAGAGAGAATAAAAGGAGTAAGGATAGGAAAAGAACAAGTTAAATTATCATTATTTGTATATGACATGATACTCTACATAGAAGACCCCCAAAACTCCATTGAAAGACTCCTAGATATAATAAATAAATTCAGCAATGTAGCTGGATACAAAGTCAGTACTCAAAAATCAATAGCATTCCTATACATTAACAACAAAATCACTGAGAGAGAAATAAGAGAAGCCACACCCTTCACAATGGCATCCAAAAAATGAGATACTTAGGAATTAATCTCATGAAAGAAGTAAAAGATCTGCACAAGAATATTATAATACCCTGAAAAGGCAGTTGAAGAGGACTTCAGAAAATGCAAAGACATCCCTTGTTCATGGATAGGAAGAACAAATACTGTGAAAATTGTCATTCTCCCAAAATTGTTACACAGATTAAATGCAATCCCAATGAAAATACACTAGCGTACGTCATAGATCTAGAGAAATCACTCCTAAAATTCATCTGGAACCAGAAGAGACCTAGAATAGCAAAGACAGTTCTAAGCAGCAAAGGCAAGGCAGGAGGCATCACAATCCTTGACTTGAAGTTATACTACAAAGCTACTGTAATAAAATCAACATGTTACTGGAATAAAAACAGATCTGAAGATCAATGGAATAAATTAGAAGATACAACCACAACTACAAACAAAGTCAGCCACCTTATATTTGACAAAGGGGCCAAACATGTTCACTGGAAGAAAGTCTCTTTAAGAAATGGTGCTGCAAAAATTGGCTCTCATATGCTGAAAAATAAAACTAGACTCATACCTATCAGCATGTATTAAATTAAAATCTGAATGGATCAAAGATGTAAATATTAAAACAGAAATACTAAATCTGTTTAAAGACAAAGCAGACTGTTGAAATCAGAGGGCTAAGTAGAGAATTCACGAACAAGAATCAAACCACACGTGAAATACTTCACAGAATCAGTAACTGGGATCATGTCATATCAATGAGTTTCTGCATGTCAAAAGAAATTTCCAGCATAGTGAAAAGAAAACCCACAAATTGGGAAAAAATCTTAGTGAACTGTCCTTCGGACAAAGGGCTTCTGTCCAGAACATATAAAGAATTAAAGAAAATCAGACCCCCGAAATTCAATGACCCAATCCAAAAATGGGCATCTGAGATGAATACACACTTCTCAGATAAGAAATACAAATGGCAAATAAATACATGAAAAAATGTTCAGCATCATTAGTCACTAGAGAAATAGAAATTAAAACCACACTGTGATTCCATCTCACTCCAGAAATAATGGCCAGGATAAAGAAAACCACCAACAACAAATACTGGAGAGGCTGTGGGGAAAAAGGAACTCTCCTACACTGTTGGTGGGAGTGCAGACTGGTTCAACAACTGTGGAGGTCAGTCTAGAGTTTCCTCAAAAAGCTGGGATTGGAAGTCCCATTTGACTCAGCTATTCCACTTCTGGGCATATTTCCAGAAGAAATGAAATCATCATACCACAAGTGATTACATGTGCACCCATGATTATAGCAGCACAATTTGTAATAGCCAGATCTTGGAAACAACCTAAATGCCCATAAACTGAAGCATGGATAAATAAGTTGTGGTATTTTTATACAATGGAGTACTACTCAGATATAAAGAATGATCACATTGAGATATTTATAAATAAATGGATGCAACTCAAGACCATACTCATAAGTGAAATAAATCAAACTCGCATGTGTAAATACCATATTGTTTCCATAGTGTAAGAAATGATAAGTGTACTTAAGATTTTATGGTCATCATGGTTTCCTATTATATTGCTTTGAAGTCTTATAATGCTTTCATTCATTTGTTTGATTGGTTTTGTGTTCTGCTTGATTTTATTTTGTGTAATGGGCTGAGCAGCTATTTTGAAGAAAAGAACACATTATGGCAGCCATTGCTGATTTAATATCATCTTGCTTTGAAGCCCTGACATGCTTTTGTTCTGCTTTGATTGGTTCTATCCTGTTGTGTCTTACTATATTTTATTATGTGTGATAAATTAAACAATTTTTTAAGAAAAATTAGATATTATAGTAGCCATTGTTCATTTCCTGTTATTTGGTTTTGAATGTCCTTTAATACTTTTATTCTCTTAAATGGTTTTATACTATTTTGTTTTGTTTGATATTATTTTGTGTGAAGGTATGCTCAACTATTTCAGAGAAAAGAAACATTATGATGGCTACTGTTGATATGCAGTTGTCTTGTTGTGAAGTGTTGTGTTGCTTACATTGTTCTGTTCTGATTTTCTTTGTTCTGTTCTCTTTTGCTTTATTCTCTTTAAATTTTTTTTTTTTTTTTTTTTTTTTTTTTTTTTTTTTTGCGGTGCCGGGGATTGAACTCACGACCTTGTACTTGCTAGGCAGGCACTTATGCCATTGAGCTAAATCCCCAGCCCTAAAATAAAAATTTTAAAATAACAAAATAAAAAGAAAATAGACAAAATGAAATGCCACAATCCAACGGATTACTCCTAACTTGATATTATGGTAATGTGGCATGTGTGCCCAAAGACACCTTTTTATCCAGGATGGCTGTTCCTGTCGCTTTGTTCACATGTCACCAGCGGGAAGGAAGGGACAAGAAAGAGTAGACTCTCTGCCTTTAAAAGACTTCCCAGGTGTTTTGAAAGCCATTCATCCCATTGGCTAAAACTTAGTCACATGATGATGTCGAATAGCAAAGGAAGCTGGGAAATATATTTCTTATTCTGAGTGGTAGGAAGAAGAAGGAATGGAAACTATGGGATAACTAACAGTGCGGGTTTCTGGGAAAATGGTTGCCAAAATTTAGATCTGAAGTCATAGGATTCTGAGAATTGTCCCCTGATAGGAAAATATTCTAGAGAAGAGGAAAATCTTGAGTTCAACACTGAAACCAATCATGATTACTTAGTCATCAGTCATGGTTATGGCATGATAGTGTTTGTATTTTTCTTGGGAAACGAGGTGTGGCTCAGGTTGTTTCAGAGGAATAAGAGTGGGGCTAATTTTTAGTGCAAAATTGTGGTCGAGTGGGCCAGGAGCATCTCAGAAAAGACTGAGGTGGAGAGGAGGGTTTACAACAAGGTGATATGAATCCTTTGGGGCAGTATTGAGTCAGAAGAAGGTGTGTACTGGGAGTAGTTCAAAAAAGGAAACATTTGTTCAGAAAATATCCAAGCTATGGGTTCAAGGGACAATAGGATTGCATTCCACGTTTCCTTTGAATCACAGAGAAAAATCATGTTTATTAAAGTGTCATGAATATGTATAAACATTGAACTTTTATTTGTTAAGTTCCTAGCATCAGTCTGCTATTTTGCTGTCTTTGTTTGTATGTCTCACCTTCTAAAATAGATATTAGGAAGGCTTGTTTGATTGTTGTGATAAATTCACACTTGCCTCAGAGGAAAATAGAAAATGCAGTATAATATTTTAACTTATTGATGTACTATATGATATTTAGGAAACAATATGTTCTTAGGTTTTTCTAACTATTTTCCTACTATCATTTAAGTTTTGATTCAGTTTTTTATCCAAAAAATGGACAGCTCAAAAACTTCAACCCATTTAAAAATACACATGTCTATTTTGAAGACAGTTTACCTCTAAAGTGTCTCTTTCTTTTTTAAGGAAGTTTTAAGATCAAATGCCCAATTTAAACTTAAAGTCATCTAGAAAGCGAATATGTTAGGAAAGCACTGGTCTAAATCTGTGATTATTTACATTGTTACACATAGTTTTTACATTGCTTCTCAAATACTATTAAGTTATAACTTCTTTTCTCCCAGGAAAAGCTCAGTGTTGTTGGTTGGCAGTACAACTTTATATTAGACAGGCGTAGAGAACATTAAACCAGTTTATTTTATGTTCACATATAACAGGTTGGCAAGAGCAGGATTTCTGGTCTTACTTGTCTTGAGATCAGTGTGTCTTGAACTGGCAATTTAGGATACTTTGTTACATGGATGCTCATGTTGAGGAATCTTACTTACATTAGACTTTCAATTTTATAACACAGACATAATTACTAAACTCTGTTCACTAAGCCATTTGGCTTCTGTCTTCATACTAGGTAATAAAATTGCCAAGAAGTACATGGCACAAATCAGTTCTTTAGGTCATTTGTCGGCCTATGGTAAGCTGATTCACCTGATTCTATTCTTATGGTCATTTCCACAAATCATAATCAACTGAAGGCCTGCCTGTTCAACTTCTGCAGAAGCTTTAGGGAAATTTTCCTAATGTTTGCAAAATCACCTGCATTGCCACAAATAACTGTCATAGTACTATTGTCTGTCCAAAAGTGTTCCCAAGTCACTAACCCAATCAGAGTCCCATTGCATTGAAACAGAAGGGAAAGGCATAGAGAAGAAGGGTAACAGGACCATAGGTCACAACGCCCAAGCCCCTGAGCCCTGTCATAGAAAAGGGCATGGTGAGTCTCTTCTTTTCAAACTGAAAGGTCTTGATGCATTTCTCCTAACTTGAAAATTCATATTCACTTAGAAAAAGAATCAAGGACCAGAGTTCCTGTCCTGGTATCTATATGGTCATTTGTCCATGGGAGGATCAGTTCTTCATTCTTAAAGGATAAGACTAAATGGTTCAACATAAATGTGACGTCTAATACTCTGGTTCTTTTGAACTTGAATATAATTGTGAATAACTTACTTCTATTCACTGTCAGGTACACAGTCCTGAATTCCTTATTTGAATATGTACCTTTGAGACATCAATAGGGTCAAAGGTATGAGAACCAACGCATGGATATGTGTTTATTGGACTTTTCTTTATCATCTTTCAGGTCTGGTAGAAATATGCCTGATGCACCCCCTCGATGTGGTGAAAACCAGGTAAGGTTCTGCATGAACAAGTTTTGTTGACTTTGGCTGATATCCAAATTGAGATTTGTCAAAACACTAAATGCTAGAACTTGTCCCAGGCCAGTAGCTTTTCCATATAATGGCATTTATCTTTGCTTTTTAAAGAAAGTATTATTTGATGAATAAAATGTGAACAGTGAAAAGCATTTCTGGATAGAGGTCACTGAAAGGTATGTAATATTTTGTTGACTTCACATGACAACAACAAGGTATGATTTGTGGCTATACTGGTAAATGAGATAGATTTATCAAAATGATATAAAAACTAAAAACTTTATGAGTGACTTATGACAGCATATTTTCATTTGACATTGCATATAACAGATTGCTGTTTCAATAGCCAGCATTTTGGTGTGAGACTCCAGAATTTCAAGTAATTTTCTCAAATGGTGCTGAAATTATTTATTTCTATAACTTTTTGCCAATGCAAAATGCCATATTTTTAGGAAAATGTATTTACTTTTAAAGGAAGGTACAGACCAGGACAATTTGTTAAATGTGTTTACCAGGGTTTTTGTAAAAAGCAAACCAACCAAAATGCATGGTGATATTTAATATGATCTAGAACATTTAAAATTTAATCTTTGTGTGAATTATGGAACTATCTATTTTGTCAACTTAGAAATTATTAGAGTGTAATGAAATTTTATGTTTATTCATATTTTATGAAAACCAAGGTTGGAGCCTAATAACAAACTGTACTATGCAATAATGGACTTTGAACAAATCATTACTACCTCGTTTGGTAACCAATTGATGGGACAGTCTGGTCACTAGATGGACGTGTTCCTTACCCACCCTAAAGAGGCCACAGATTCAGACTGGTTGGTGAAGGCAGGAGAAATAGTATTTGCATGATTGTAACATGATGGGAACTTGGCATCTGACTTACTTTGAAGCTGCTATAACAAGACATCATATACTGGGTTGCTTATACAGCAGACATTTATTTCTCACAGTTTGGAAAGCTAGGAAATGCAAGATCAAGGATGAGACCTACTCAGTTCTTGGCGAGGGCCTTCTTGGTTATCAGACAGCCTCCTTTTGAGTGTACCCTCAGTTGGCAGAGACAGAAACTCTAGTCTCACGTTTGTCTTATGAAGCCTCTCATTTCATCGTGGGGCTCCACCCTCATGGCTTCATCTAAACCCTCACCTCTCAAAAGTCCACTTCCAGCTACCATCACATTGGGGATTTGGGATTCAACATACGACGTTTAAAGGGACACAGGTATTCAGTCTTTAATAATAGCTTTATGTCACTAAACCAAAGAGAAATAAGGAAATAATAAAATATATGTGAATTCAAGATGTATGTATACCTGGACTACCTTTTCATATAGGTTTCAGAAGCAGAATGTAAGCTCACAGGCCTTTCTTTTTAGATTCTGTGTAAACTTTTTTGGAAAGCCAAAATATTATTGCTAGTTTCACTAAGGAATAAATTGTCTTTTTTTATTTAAGGATGACTTCCTAAAATAGTAAAGTGTTCAAGTAAGCATACAGTAGAAATAAAAATGATTTAAACAAGAGGTTATTCTAAGATTATTGTCATTCACTTATTCACCCAATCATTCATTCATTCAACAAACATGTATTGAGTATCTAGTGTGTGAGCTACAGGCTAACTCTACCCTTGAGAGGCTTACAATATGAAGAGCTATCACACATCTCATTAAGAACTTCAAAACTGTTTCATTTCACTGGGCTGGACTTGAATCACATGCATTTTGAACTAAATGCACCATGTAACTGGATCTTTATATATTCATTGCTTTATCAATATTTTTATGAAAATGGCATTTGTTAGATTGAAATTGCTGATATGCCCTTGGCTAACTTCAAAGAGGAAGGATAATACAGTCCTTCCAGGTTTTTTGAAAGAAAAATAAACTGGATTCCGGATGGTATTTGACCTGCATAACAGTAAAAAGTGTACTTGAATAAAGACCCCAATCATAGAGAAAAACCCAAAATATGTGTAACTATGTTTTCAACAGAAGTAAAATATGCAAGGTTGATAGAATTTACCATTCAGACATTAACATAGCACTGACAGGTAGTGAACAGGAACAGACCAAAGTACTGCAATCTCTTTCCTGGTACATTTCACATTAAATGACTACCTTTTTTGTAGTGAGGATTGAATTTCGAGTCTTCACACTAAGCTATATCTGCTACTTTTTAAATCTTGAGACAAGGTTTCAGTAAATCACTAATTTGCCAAGGCTGGGCTAAAATTTGTGATCTTCCTGCCTCAGACTCACAGAGTGCTGCAATTATGGGCATTCAACCATTACCAGACCCAGCTTAAATGACTAGATTTTAAAAAAAGAATAAATTCGTACCAAGGAACACAGCTCATCACTGTATGAAATAAAATGCTTGAATAAAGAATTTGGCAAAATTTTTTTAGACTGTGGATTTTTGTTCAGCAAAGAAAGGATTAGACATGAATAAAACTCAAAAAAGAAAAAAAACTGGACCCCAAGAACCCATTTTGTTTCATATTCCTGCACATGAAATACTGTGCAAATGAGCCATATCCATAATCACATTAATTCAGTGTACCATACTTCAAATAGTACTATCTAAAGAGAAAGGGAATTAGCCCTTAAAAATCTATGTATCCCATGCACCCACTCAGACAATTTCTGCAACAGCTTAGAATCCGGTGCCCTTAGAATTCCATGTAATTAAAAAACTGAACTGCTGTCACTAATGCTGAGTACTTTTTTTACTGTATTCATTTTTATTTTTTAAATAGTAAATGTACATCAAATGAAATTAAAATAATTCTCTAATACTTCAATAAGTACAGGCTAGGTTTTGCTGCAATAATATCAGCAACAAACCCTAGATCTCAGCAGAATACAACTCTCTTTTTTTATTTTAAAGAGATCTTTTTAAAGATCTTTAGTTGCATCCGTTTACTTACAAGAGCCTTGAGATTATCCTACTTTATAGCTGGGTACCTTTCTTTTGTATGAAAATACCATATCTTTCTTATGCATTCTGCATTTGATGGACAAATTATTCTTTCTTTTTTCTGATCTCCTGTCACGTGGAACAATTGTTTTCTCTCCTTTGATTTTCAGTCTATGAATTTTGAGTTAAATGTGTTTCTTGCATGCTGTATATTGATGGATCTTGTTTCTTGATTAACTCTCCCTGTGTTTCCTTTTATTGGTGAATTGAGGCCATCTATATTAATGGCTACAGCTTGCATGCATTGGTTCATCTCCGCTGTACTATCCCCCTCCTTTGTTCAATTGCCTGTCCTGTTGGGCATTCCTCCTCTGCTGCTGTTCCTGGAACCATGGTCATCTTTATCTCTCTCTAGAATACCCTTCAGCACTCTCTGTAAGGACAACCCCCTTTTTAAATTTCATCTCTATCATGTCCGATATGAATAGGTATCTTACTTTATTCAGATTGCCATACCAAAATACCATAAACTAAGTAGCTTATGTACAGAAAAAGTTTATTTCTCACAGTTACAGAGACTGAAAGTCCAAGATCAAGACAGATGCAACACTGCTGCTGATGAGGGGCCTTGTCCTGATTCATAGATGGCACCTTCTCACTGTGTATGCATATGGTGGAAGAGGCGAGGCAGCACTCGTGTCTCTCTTTTAAGGGCATTAATGCCATTCAGGAGGACTCTATCTTTGTGGCCTCATCACCTTCCAAAGGCTCTGCCTCCTAACACCATCATGCTGGAAATGAAGATTTCAACATAGGGAGTTATTGGGACATCTTCAGGCCATAACAATGAGAAACTCTGCTCACAGAGTCATCAAGGCTCATAGGAGCTCTATTTCAATACGTGCTTTCTCCAGCCCTGTGGGAGGAAATATAGAGCTCAGTAGTTTAAAACTAGCAATACAGCTCTGACATGAAGTGTTATCTCCTCCCCAAACTATTGTTAAGGCTAGTCACGTGACTACGGCTGGCCAATCAGAAGTATGATCCTTCATGCTGATTTAAAGGAGAGGACCTGGGTGTCGAGATGCCCTGGGCATGCTTGTCTTCAGCCTTAGAAGCACAAATGCCATTCCCTTAAACAGGCTACTTCCCGTTCCAGAGGTAAGGCCTGACTTTTAGTCATTTAATGCTTACACTAGTATTGAGTTGCATACATGTCCTTCCTGGAACCTCATAAAGTGACTATTTGGGAATGGAGCCTCTCAGTTAGTGAACATGGAATTATACTGAAATAGGGTGACTTTTAAATCCAATAAAGCTCATATCCTTAAAGAGGAAGAGAAGACTCAGAAAGGCAGACATGGAAGGAAGACAGCTACATGATGCCGAAGGCAGAGATTGGAATTACACAGCTGTCAGCCAGTGTACACTAAAAATTGCTGGCAGCCACCAGAAGCTAGGAGAGAGGATTGGAATGGATTAGGCAGTCAATGTAGCACGCTTTCTTAATTTGTCAGTTTTAAATGTTATTTGTGACATTTATAATTGTGCCCCATTCCAACTTCCTGTCTTCATCTGTCCCATTATTCATCAGTAATCAACTGTTTCGTTATTTTGACTATGCACACATTGTTCACTGCTGAACCAATGATTTATTTTCCTGGAGTTAATTATTGTCTCGTATTTGCATTTGTTAGTTCTCTATCAGACTTATTACTAATTGCTCTTTTTCCCCATGTTACTATAGGTTTCATTTTACTGCTGTTTTCCATATTGCCAAACTCATAGCAAATGACATGATAGAGCTTATGGAACGTGGACTTTTTCACAGTGACCAGGCACCTCTTGTTCCCCTTGAAGTGTCTGTTTCTCCAGTTGTGAATCTTTCACTCCAAAGCGTGTGTGGTAGAGAATGGAGAAATGCACATCATTGCCGTATTTCTAGTTTGCTGTCACTCTGTTTCCTGCTGCTGTCTCCAGTGGCCCTCAGTCTGTAGTTGTTTTGGTTCAATATTCACAGAATAATTCTCAAATGTTTAGAGG